AGCTATACTGAATAGTGGTAGAAAGGGAAAAGTTTAAAAAAGGTGCAGTAACCTATAATGTCTCTGTTTAAATCCATATTTTCTAGTTTCTCCATCATGTCCCTCAGAAAACCTGCTCACTCTTTAGTAAGACACACTTAAAATTTTGTGGACTGGGAAAAACTAGTGTTCTGTACAGTCACAAAAGTTTAACAAAACTAAGTTTTATATGGATAAATGTGTAGATTAGTGAAAAGCATATGAGGTAAGATGAAATACATAATAATTAACATTCCAGAACATTCAAAGGAAAGTATGTTATGGGACTGCAACTGCGAAAGGAATTAATCCAACCTGAAAATCAGTACATCAGCAGCTTTGGTAACATGAATTATTACTTTCTATAATTCTGCTCTTCTGCATCGGGACAGATTGTATTAGTCCTTTTCATCTTCAAATCTATGAAACTACAATGAAAAAATTACTTCTATAGGAAAATGTCAATATATTGATAATAATGCTTTTGAAAAGCACTTTCCCACAGAGCAAAATGAGTGCAGTTTAGGTAATTTGTTGGACAAGGAAAGTAGAGGGTTTCTGCCTCACAAATTCTGTTGCTATTCAATTACTTGTTCACTTTTTTGGAGAGGGAACTAGATTCGATGGACTTAACCAAAATGGCGTGAAACGAATCCTTTTTTCATCTTTGCACAGGCTAAATATAACTTCTAGTAACATGAATGTTATTCCTTCTGTAGCTGAAAACTTCTTCTCAGACCCCTGTTCTGTTGTTTCCACTGTGGTTATATCATAAACAGAAGAGAGTAAACTCTCTCAGTGAAGTTATATTTTTTCTTACCAGTGATATGAATGCTTAACAAAGAAAAAGAACCGAATCTTAAGGCAGTAGTCTCCTTCACTGAGAGTGTTCTTTCCTCAACGTACTGAATTAAGGATCACCAGACTGAAAAACAGATATCTTGTGTTTGATCACTGTAGATTCTGTTTTCCGCTTTGTTGTTGCTTCTAATAACTTACTAACTCTGCGGTCAGTTCAGCAGAATTTCTTTTGACCACCTTATTATATAATCACTATTGAACATCTAGGCGAATTGTAGAGATAGAAAAAAAAAAAAGAAACTGAATAGCAACTTAGAAATTACATACTGGTAGAATCTCAACATGCCCTAAATTACTCATTTGAGAGAGTTCAGTGTTGAACTGGGACTGGTTGGAGCCATGGTGGGACACTTACCAGTAAGGAAATGAAAAATTTTTGTAACTAAAGTACAATGAAGAATTCTGCCTGGAGCACTGTCATTTGGAAATGGGTGGGGTTTGGTCTTCTGGAACTAACCTGTTGTAGCCAGGTGGGTGTTGGTCTCTTCTCCCAGGCAGTTAGACAAGAGGGTGCATTCTTAAACTCTGCCAGGGCAGGTTTAGGTTGGATATTAGGAAGAAATTCTTTACAGAGAGGGTAATCAGGCATTGGAATGGGCTGTCCAAGGAAGTGGTGGATTCTCTGTCCCTGGAGGTTTTTAAGATGAGACTGGATGTGGTACTGACTGCCATGGTCTCATAACCACGGTGGTGTTGGATCAAGGGTTGGACTTGATGATCTCAGAGGTCCTTTCCAACCCGGCTAATTCTATGGTTCTGTGAATATCCCTTTGGTCAGTTGAAATCCTCTGTTCCAGTTGTGTCTCTTCCCAACCTTCCATGCTCCCCAGTCTCCCCACCAGCATGGCATCATGAAGAGCAGAAAAAGCCTTGTCTCTGTGTAAGCCCTGCTCAGCAATAACAAAAACTTCTCTGGATTATCAACCCTCTGTTCAGCACAAATCCAAAACATAGTCCCATACCAGCCACTGGGAAGAAAAGTAAATCTAACCCAACCAAAGGCAGCACAATCCCATATGTCTATTGTAACCTTAAGGATTTTATAAAGTCCTGACAGCAGAAGTAGCCCTTCTATGGCTATGTTCAGAGTGTTAGCCTGAAAGAACTTTGTATTGTGATTCCTCACTGCTATCTCACAAAACACTCTTAAATATGTTGATAAACCTATTACCATTAGTATCCAGTCAGAGAAAGCCTTTTGTATGTTCCAGTGACCTTGCACAAAATCCATGGGGTGTTCAGAATACTTTAAATATTTTCTTCTACTGTCCAACATTATTTAATAGCAATTCTCTGACCATTCTCATCTGAGGTCATTAGATGCTGGTTCATGAGTTGCTGTGAACAGTTCTAACACTTTATACACTCAAATTGGGTTTTCTGAACTTTTGTGTTTGGCATGAATCTATAAGTGTTATGAACTTTTCCTAAAAAGGAAATATGAACAAAATATATCCTTAAGAGACACTGATTTACTCTGTGGTTTTCATTTTGGACAGAAACCTCATATTTTAAGCATTAGAGCCTTTTTTTTTTTTAATTGAAAAACAGATCAATAGTCCACATTCAAATGGGAGCATCATTTAGAAATTGTAAACATATATAGTGAAGGGATTTTTATGTTACATTAAATATAATCATTATAAAGGCCTCTCCAAGAAATTTTGTCTGCACTCTTTGCACTCTTTGGTATATTCTAGCTTAGAAAGGCCAGATTAAGTGTGTAGATATCATGGTGTGTTTAGCCACAAGTGAAGCACTTTGTTAAGTTGTTTTGGTCACTCACTGGTTCAAGAAAGCAACATTTTAAATTTTGGGGCATTTTGGTATTGTTGTTGCTTTTAGATTACCTACTAACTTCCTGAACTCTTCATTCCAGTCTGTAATAAATCAAACGTATTACACGTGTGGGGTTTTTTCAGGGACATCAGCCAAGTATTTTCCCTAAGAAATGTTTTTCATAGATTTGGAGCTTGTGTATTCATGGTCACTTGTGTAAATGGGCTCCTGAGATGTCCTGAATACAGTTTTCAATATGCAGCCCCGTTCTCCTCTTGAGTGGAAGAATTGGTCATCATGGAATCCCAGGACTGTGGTAGCTAATGAAAAAAGTCTTCTTGCAAAAAGCATAGTCCCTAGAGGAGAACTGTTAATATGACTTACTTAGATAAAAATCTCATGAGACATTATGGAACCGATATGTCTTTAAATATTTTGGGGTTTGGTGATAAGAAATATCATCATGTGTTATTAAAAGCAGATATTATGAAAACTTAATACAGTTGTAGACCCAGTTTTCTTATGAAACAGTTCTGCAGCAGAGTTTTCATTCATTCCTCTCTCTCTGCCCACTCCTCCTGCCCCCCCCAAAAAAACCCCACCAAAGCCCCAAACCACCCACACCAACAAAGAAATTATAATGAAACAAAAATAGGTGTGACTTTTGTAGGGGGGGGTTTGTGGACAGCTGACATAAACAAGCTGTTATACTTCTGTCAGCAATGTACCAAAATATTGAGTTTGCCAGGAATCAAAAGATAATGTTGAATGACTGAGTCTAAGGGAGAAGGAGCCCAATTTGCAGGAAATAGATAGCAACTGTTTTCCATATGCCAGTGTCATTGTGGAAAGTGTTTTATTCCCTAAACCTGCAGCCCAATCCTTGAGCCACATTCTCTAGTCACATCAGGGTGATTTTGCTCAAGAGTTCTCTTAACCCTTCCTGTAGACCACAACCTCTTTGTTGTTTCAATTATACCCTAAAGCTTTAATCAGAAATCCTCGCCCAGAGAGGGCACAGAAATGAGTTGTTGTGTGACAGGAGTGTATAGCTTCCTAAAATGAGGGGTTAGATTTGCTTCAGATTAAGTGTTTGGGCCTTAGGCTACTCTTGCTGTGCTCTGACTGTGCTTTGTGTTTTCCAGCTCTGTTTCTTCAGTTCCTTTTGCTTTTCCTTTGACTTAAACATGCTGCTATGTGTGCTTACTCACAGTTTTTCTCCCTAGGCTTGAGCAGGGGATGCTGAAAGGTTTTCTTCTCTCTCTCTAAACCTCAGCTGAGTCCATGGAAAGATCTTTATCCCTTCTTCTGGAAGAAGGAAGAGCACTGATAGGTAGAAGTCTCTTTTCCCTGCTGAAGCATTTCTCATTCAGATCTTTAGACTGCAGCATTCTGGAATCAGCCTTGCAGTGAGAGATGCAGTATTGGAACCACTCAATGATAATTTCAATTGCCTTCTGAGTACTCTAGAAATCACTATTCCCTCCCTAGAAGGCCTGTGAATTTTCAATATAGTGAGGCAGTCTTCAAGAAAATACCAAAATGTAGTTTGTGCTGACTAACTTCAGGGAATTAAATATACACATAAAAAAATACCTATTCCTTCATGCAGTGCACAGATTTTATTGTTTCTGGAGTTTTGTGGTTTTGTTTATATTTTGTTAAACTTCAAATGCTTGGAAAACTAGGTCTCTTGGTGGTTTTTGTGCTACTGTGGATGAGTCTGATGCTGGATACTAGCCAACACTTATTATCAGTGATTTTAGTGATTCTTAAGTTCTCACAAATCACATTTCTTTCAAAGAGAGGCTAAAGCTAATTATTATTTTATGATTACATGAACATGTGAGAAATTTTTTTAGCCTTTGCAGTTTGTTAACATTTGCCTTAATAAAATAATAAAGTATAGCCATTAATTGTATCTTGCAGTAAATCTTTAACTAATATTACTGATGTCCCTAAAGGACTTGTTCTTCAGAAAATCTTAAACCTTGTGTTGGTCTGGTAAGAATGAAGGGTTATTGCTGATATTTTTTCTCAAATATGATCCTGTTTCATAATGCTTTTTGAGGCATGAACCTGTCACTTCTGGCTGCATATGCATTGAAACACATGCTGTGTACCACAGTGTCATACTGTGTGACCCAGAACAGTTTATCTGTTCTTTTTTGCTAAACTAAACTTAGATGCAATTGCAGCTTAAAAGTACAGGAGCTCTCCAATATGGTGAGTTTTAGAAACAATTGAATATTACTTTTAACTCCCTTTGGGGGGGGGTTAAAAAAAAAACAAACCAAGCTTTAAGTGATTCAGCTTTTGTTTTTTATTTTGTGTTTCACCAGTTGAAAAGATACAGAGCCAGTGGGATGAAGTGCATGGATACCTTCAAGGCCGGAGACAGCAGCTTCATGAGATGTTAAAGGATTCAACACAGTGGCTAGAAGCTAAGCAAGAAGCTGAGCGAGTTCTTGAACAAGCAAAAGCTAAGCTTGAGTCGTGGAAAGAAATTTCCTACACCGTGGAAGCTCTGAAAAAGCAGAACACTGAGCTTAAGGTCACTACTGACTATTAAAATATTTCCATTTGAGTTAATTAGATCATTAAAGAAAATGTCCTCTAACTGTTGTCCTCTAACCATGGACAGTGCACATTGAGAACAATCTTCCACAACAAATTAGAAAGAAATTAATTTACAAAGTCTAAAATATGTGTCACATAATCCTTGAATATGAAATTGGTCTTATCAGTCATAACAAATAGCTGGCTAATGTTTCAGGACAAATACCTACCTCTTCAACACAAGCATTTCTTGTCTCCTCTGTTCAACAGCCCCAGCTGCCCTGGTGCTGCAGACTGGGAAATCCTGTAGTATTGGTATGTCTGTCTGCACTCTTAATGGAGCTCTAAAGGTTGTCTGGAAATAGTTGGGAAAAAAGGGAGAAAAACCCCAACTGTAACAAACTATATGGAGTTGTTTTGAAAATCAAACATTTTATATTTGCCATAGGATAATCTCACTGGGTTCAGCTTTGGCAGGATTATTAACTTTAAAAAACTGAATTGGCTGCTCTTGTGATTTTAGCACACATGTTGCCACATTCTGGGTGCTAAAACATGTGCCTCAGTTAACTTATATAGCTGAGCTATACCTCAAGTAGCAATGCAAATATTCTCTTTTGCATCAGTTTTTAAGTTTCTTGTACTGGAAACTTTGGTGACATTCTTCATGAATAAATTTTGAGAATTGCTGTTTAAGATTAATATCTAATTTTCTAGTTGGGGAAAACCAAGATTGAAACCAACCAATCGATCAGACTTCTAAAGTGAGTCCTGCCTCCATGGGAGAATGGTTACACAACTATTTTCTGATATGTTCTCCTCTCCTGCACATCAGATTTTTGTGGGTTTTTCCTAACTCTTGATGCTCAACTACTTGGTTAAAGTTTGTGGACTTTAAACAGTCTTATTTACACAGCTGAATAATAATGAAATTCTGTGAATAGTGAGGTGAGGTCCTCATCAACTAGTTTTGCTGCTGGAGAAAGTGTAACTTCATGATTGTTCTTCATCAGTTAGTTATTGCCTTCCTGATATTTAGGAGTAGATACAAAATCTATTGGGGTGTTTGCCTTTTTTTTTTTTTCTTTCCTGTAAGAAGTATAGAAATATTCATCAGCCCATTCTTTTAGGGCTGAGGTGTGGTTAAGATTTCTCATTTAAGATTGTACCATAAGGGTCATTTCTTGGGAAGGGTGGATTATAGTAAACAAGGGCAATCACTCACTAATGTATTGGAAAGAGTTATAGATCATGTACACCGCTGTCATTCAGCATAGAGGACTCCCATTTGTCACTGTCTTCCTGCAGAGATATAGTCCTGGCCTCTGCCCAGTCTTTGTTTTAAAAAAAAAAAAAAAGAAAAGCTTCAACAAAGTCAATGTACCAGCTCTACAAAGACTCAATTAACAAAAAAACAGTTCTATACCAACACAGTCTTCTGTCATTGTGTTGAGTGTCTTATGTCTTGAACACAAATTACCTAACTAGGAAAATAATTTAAAATTTTGCTTTAGAAATGGATTTTATGTCCACTTTTTTATAAGAGTATATGAAGTTTAAATGAGTTCCCTCTAAGAGTGTATACTTTTTGAAAAAAATTATAGGTTATTTCAGATCAACATTATCCAAGGAGAGAAATAAGAACATCCTGCTCTTCTCCTGAATCCCCAAAATTATAGAAAAAGAATGCTAGTATTCTTATTCAACAAATGTATCTCTATGTATGCTAGTCTCTGAATGGAGACCTGAAGATTCTTTTCCCTCTTTCTTTAAAAACACTTGAGCTATCTGTATCCTCAGCCATTCCCATCACAGTCTGCATTCAATGTGGTGTGCTGTGTCAAGTTACAGATGTTAATCTATAATTATAATCTCAGTGTCACAGCTAGTCCGTCTTAAACTGTGCCCTCATGATGATTTGAACATCAACAGGCTCTATTCTTCCAGGGTTGTTTACTTTCATTTATTTGGTTATGCCTAGCCTTTCTCCCCCTCGTCTAGAAGAAATTCACCTCTGTCTTAGCAAATTGGGGGTGCATAGGGTAGGGGGGTTTTTTTCTTATTTTTTTTCTCTTTTTTGTGTTTCTTTTGTGACAGCCTTCCTAGAGGAATTAAATTTGTCTGCCAGTAATTCCTATTGTGTCAAATCCCTCATGAGAACAGCATCAGCTGTTGTGTTCATGCTTGAGATAAGGAGTCATGAATTCTAAGGAAAATGCAAATTTTTTTAGTTCAACAGCTTTATGTTTCTTGTGGATAGTATTATCTAAACTGAGGGACCTAGAAATACATTAAGTTCTGAAAATAAATGCTTTCCAGGCTTCTGTGCCAAACACATCTATTTTGATGTTGTCCCCTGAAGATGTAGAGTAAGTATGCTGTCTTCTGGCTTGCTGTTAGCCTGATGAGAAGGAAGCTGTCATTTCTATTCGTGTTGAGGGAAAGAGAGAGGTCAGTGTGAGACAAATAAATTCTTCAGACATATTAATTTTGTCAGCTTTGTATCTCAACACAGCTTGGTGTTGGAAAGTAGTCACTGAGTGTTCTTCTGATTTGCTTGTTAAATGTTACAGGTCTGCCTAAAGACAGCTGGGTCAATGTGTAAGTTCCCCTCTACTCCAGGGAACTTTTAATCAGTGCTTGTGTTAATGCATTTGTGTTTGGGCATCCTTATACATGAGAGAATGCTAAACCCAACAATACCAGTCTTTCGATTACTTAAATTTTTACAATGCCAGTATAAACCAAAAACCTGTAACTGGCTTGTATTTGGCCAGTGATGTTTTTAATAGAATTTGGCAGTTTTGTTTCTGACATTTAAAAGAGAAGTAATGAGGTAATATAGTTGATAATTAAAAACATTATTCATTTGAATCAGAAATTACTTCAGAGCTAATTAATTCAATTAATTTGCTGAGGATTAAAGCTTTTGTTGTTGTTCTTTAGTTTGATATTTGAGAACTAAATTAGTGTTAGGTGTAGAGAATCAGAATATGGCAATATGGCCAATGAGAGTCTTTACCATTAAGCCTTCTTTGTTATTGTTCATTTTGTGATGACTGCAGATGGTTAACTCAGCAGGCTGAAGGTTATAGGTGTATAAATAGTACACGATCACACCTCATCTCCTTCAGTCACCAAGTCATCAGAACATAAGCAAGTCTAAAACTAGACTTTTCTTAATAGGATAATGAACTTCTGTTTAAAAGAGAAAAAAAAAAAAAAAAAAAGTCAAAAAGCCCCACCAAAACCACAAATCAAACAAAACTGCTATGACTGCCCATTCACCCCTTGGCTCCTTGTTTTTGTAAGAGCTAGTGAGGAGTCTCTTCTCCCTCTGTAACGATTTAGCTGGGATGGTCGATGTGAAGAGGAGGAAGGATGGAGATCATGTTTCATTCCTTCCCTTCATTGACCATTTATTTCTCATTCATCTAGATAGGAAATTAAATAGAATCTTGATTACATCCCCTGCTCTGTTGGGACTCAAGAGGCCAGGCAGCTTTCCACTGGCACAGCCTGGAGGGTGAACTCTATGCCCTGAATTTGTGGATAAGACTGAGGCTGTCCTCCTTGCCTTTGTCAGCTTCCTGCAGGGGAGTAACTTCCTAGGTACATTTTTGTCACTCCCCAGGTATTATATAGGATGAAGTACAGTCTCAGCATTTTGTGGATTTTTATTATTCCAGGGCTGACAATGTACTGCTTTGATTTTAGTAAAACAATTAACAAGTAAGTTAATGTTCCTGATAATGATGCAGACACTGAAATAGAATTCCTCGCTTTAAAAAATTCTTTAATTATATAAATAAAACATACTAGGTACACAGAAAAAGGAAAGAAAGGCAGCCTGATTTTCCAGATTTGTGATACATACACAGAAGTGGATGATGCTGTACATACATACTGCTATATTTGAACTACTATGCGTCATTGATTTTGTTCCACTGGGCAATCCTGGGATAGAAGAAAGCCCAGCTCTAAATTCATTACTTGTTTTTAATCAAGGATCCTTAATTACACAGACTTTCTTCCTATTAACATCAACTAGTGTTTTCTAATTAAAAATTATAAATAAATTTATACCTAAGTAATGTGATAAATGCACAGCCCTAATTCTTTAAGCCTTTTAATAAACTCAGCAAATTCCTGTGATAACACAGACAAAACAAAGAGAATGCCTCAAAAAATGTCAAAAAGAAATTAATGTAATGAAGCAATGTCCTTTAAAGAAAAAACAAATATGTTCCTAAGTAGCTAAAAGATAAATGAAGCCTAAAAAATATAAAAGGGAAAAGAGGCGAAAAAAGTGTCCTGAAGTTAATTCTGAAATATACATTATAGTCGTGTAAGATGGCAGTTAGTGAGCCTCTGGAAGGACAGACAGGTAGAACATGTACCACAACACTTTGTTCTCAGTGTCTGCACAGAGTGAAGTTGACGCATGCTCTCCTCAAAGCTGTTGAAAAATTACAAACCAATTTCCAGTAAAATAGAAAATACAAATTGTTTCCATCAGCAAAGCTCTCTGTGTTCATCATTTGTTTCCTGAGTGATGACCTCGTGTTGTAGTGTCAGGAGGTTGATGGATTAATGTTGAAGTTAATGGTGAGAACAACACATTTGGAAATAAACTTGTAATGGATATTTCCTTTTTTATTATTATAAAAGGTGGTTTGAAAGCTTTTATAAGGTCATTTATTTTCACATGGAACTGGGTAAAAGAACTTATTTTCAAAGTAAAGTTTACAGACCATTAATTTACAATCCAGGCAAGATGTTATGGTAACTTTGCTAGGTAAAGCAGTGAACAGTCAGTCTGCTGTGATTCTTTGGCTAGAACAAAAGTAGCTGCATGCCATTGTAATTTTGAACCAAGAGAAAAGTAAAGTATAAAGGTGGATAGGCCTAGATGTAGAATAGTTGGTTCCTATAAAAGATTTATAAAACTGACATGATAATGACTGTAGAATTTATTTAATTTTTTATTATATATATTATTTGTATAAATATTACCATTTATGTATTTGTTGTGAATAATTCTGGCAGGAAAGGAGCTCAGCTGAGAGACTATTTCCAAAACAACCACCTGCCTGTATCTTCCTCAAAGAAACAGTAGTGGTTTTCTACAAAATCATCACCTCTCTTGATTACATCTCCTTACTTAATGGAGGGGAATGACTTCAAAAAATTGTTTAGGTAGCTTCAGCATTAGTGAGCTTAACTACAGCATGTTAAGATGGTTTTGGGGATTAGGAGTTTTTAAAAGGTAAGAGCTGGGGGGAAAAATTAAAACCCTCCAAAACTCCATATGAACTCTATTGAGAGATCAAGTACATTTTTGTCCCAATCTAATCAAAATAATTTTACAGACCTTCTGAGAGTAAAATATAAATGCATAAAATATTAAAAATTTACTTATTTTTAGTTAGTATTTAGACTCTTCCATCAGGGATTACATATGTAAATTCAGATTTCTGTGGAGAATTCCTTATCTGAGTCAAAACAAGATTTCCAGAGGAATACTGCTTTGGGAGAAAGAGAAAAAAGCTATTTCTTCTTATAGGCATTTCCCAATTTATGTATTAAAGCACAACAATAACGACAGTCAAATCTTACTGTTTGGGGTTTTTTGCTGATAGCTTCAAACATTTACATGTAACTTACTATTTCTATTTGCAAATAAAAAATTTTTCTATTTGCATTGTCCTTTTTATTGGCTAGTTGGAGTCTGCCTAGTACAAAAGTTTAAGTAGACAATCAATTATCTTCACTCGTTTATTTTGTAGTTACACATTATGTATTAAATATGCAGCTTCAGTGCATTTATGCGGAAATTTACTCTGAGAAAGAGAGTAACAGGAAAGATGTTGGGAGCTGGCTGCTGGCTGAATGAGTTTTTGGATTTCCTGGCCTGCTTCTGGAATGAGGCATCTGGCATAGGTGGAGAGAGGAAAAAGGAGAGGAAAGGGTGAAACAAAGAATGACCAAGATTTTAAAAGCTTCCTTAATATTAAAAAGTGTAAATTAGCATTATGAAGGTATTGATGGGTTTATCAATAGTATTTTCCTGTATTGCAGACTTAGTGCTGTTCCAGTAGATGGCACTAATTACATAAACAATTTGTTAAAATGAACTAAATTATAAAAAAAATAACTGAAAGCACAGGTCTTAATTGTCCAAATCTCACTATCATTGCACAGCATTATTTCGCTATATTTTCCATCTCAGTATAATTCAACATCACAAACTATCATAGTTTGCATAATGCATAATACTGCATTATTATAACCCATCATCTTTTTGCGTCTCAGGAAAGAATAATCAACATTATAGTCAGTGTTTATCAATTTGGGGCTGTCATGTCTTATCCGGCATTTAGGAATTTTTTTCTTAGTCCCCTCAGAATTTAGAAGAAGTCCTGTGGTGTTATGAGTAAAAGAGTTTAAAACATTTAGAAAGACTGACCTTTGTTACCAGTAAATCTGAGCAAGTCCTTTTTCTTTATTTTATATTGATGGTGTAGGTTGTTCATGTCCTTCTCTAATAATCAGACAACGTATGTGATCATTTTATGTTGCTCCGAGGTTTATTCTTTCTTTCTCTTTTTACTTCAGCAATTTTCAAAAGAATTACGACAATGGCAAATAAATGTAGATGTGGCAAATGACTTGGCACTTAAGCTGCTCCGCGATTATTCGGCAGATGACACCAGAAAAGTACAACTGATGACAGATAACGTTAATGCGGCATGGGCTGCCATTAATAAAAGGTAGGATATAAATTCTGCTATTAGATTTGTTGTTAAACTCCATTAACATTCATTGCCCAGCTCTGGTTGGAGATTACAGGTGATGCAACTTTTGCAAATGGCATGACTATAGTGAGAAAGGATCATGACTCTTCTGTAGAATTTTTATGGAAATATGTCTTTGGAATGCCATTTAATTCTCTCAAATAAAGTTTTGCTTCCTGCCAATTTTCCTCTGCTGTAAACAGTTGCCAACTAACTTCAACTGATAGGTTATATATTTTAAATATTTAAAATTAAGTGCTTCTAATATCTATGTACTATCTCCACATCACAATCACATTAGTGATTTTAACTCATAAACCAAATCTGAAAATGAGAGACATATCCTGTGGAAGCAGGTTCAAAGCAGAAATGTTATCCTGTACCTTTGAAGCAAATCTCTGGTCAAGAAAGTTTCTATTAAATCCTTGACTGCATTCTTTATTACATTTCACAGTCTTTCAGTGTTTGGTTCAGATACCAATTCCTTTCTGAAAGCAATTTTTTTGCAGCTTGTCTCCAAATTGGAAATCATCCAATATACAACCTATAAAATTAGAACATATTGCAATAAAAATTACTTTCTTTATAGTAGTAAAAGAATTTTAAATCATTGCACATTAGATGAGATGTGTAAGCATTATATGAAAGTTGTTTCAATCTTTTTCTTGGATTAAGCTTTACAGCTTATAACTGTAAATAGAAATGAATTAGATCTTAACATGTTTTTAATTAAAGTGTATGAACAAGGCCAGAAAAGTCAGTTTAGCTAAATATGCAGTAAATTCAGTAGATCTTCTTGCATAACAGCAGTTACTTAAATCACTGCTGACTACAGAAATTTATTACCACTTCTTGTTTAATTTGATATTCGTATAAATGAGGCATTTTAAAGACATTTTTTTTGAGGCAGACTTACCACTGACTTAAAACACTGTTCAGATGAGAGAAGGGATTCTATTGATGTCCACTAAAAAGAAAGGTACACAATAATTTGAATATTTTTAACAAGAGCAGTAACTAAACTGAGAATTTCATATAAACAGTTAATTAATATCTGCTTGCATTTCTCCTGTTATAATAGTAGCCATTTTAGCCTTATTAGTAGTAGCCATATTTTTAATAAAAAGCATTTTGCTCTCTATGGTCTGAGAAGCAGTTTGAGGGGAATATCTACTCCTGGATGAAAAAGGCTGGATGTCTAATGCTCAAAACCATTCCCAGTGAGTAGATAAAATCAGTAGCTCAAAAGGGTTAGAAGGGAGAACCAAAGGAAAGTGGTTTTGTCTGTATTTAGAACTACAACCCCTGCTTGTTGAGAAGTCCAGGATATGTTTGTATCTGCTATGAATTTTCAGGCAGTAATTGTAGCTAAATTTAAACCTATTAATGCTTCAGGCAAAACCCAGGAGTGTCTAATGTTGCCCAAATGTGAGAATTGCCATTCTTGCATGTGCTCTCAGCCAATACTAGGCTAAGAGAGAGTAGCAAATCTTAAACACACAGTCCTTGCAAGCTTCTATAAAATACACAGACATTAGAAGTTAGATGTTAGATGAATTACTGCACTAAATGTTTTCTGTCTTAGAAGAGAGCTGTGTAGGTTACTGAGTTGACATTTCACTATAAGAATTATGAAAGGATGGGAGTAAGCTTGAACATGTAACTTTGATACTAGAGTTTCCTAGTTTTTGATTGTATGATGTTACTACTTTTCTAAAATATTTTGAATCCAGTTTTTTGTATATAATTTTTGTAAAACTTCTCATGATTTAGTAACTGGAAGAAGAAGCATGCTGCAAACAGCAGCTGATAATCGTCCCTAAGGGCTGGATCACGTTTCTGTCTGTCTTTTGTGAGACTGATAGATATTAAGGCATCAAGTCAGCACGAGACTTTTATTGGAAGATTTTCTACATGTGTAGATCTTTCAGGTTTCTTTGAAGCAGCAGCCGGGCCTTTTGCTCATACAGCAGCTCCTGAGTGAGGTCTTGAAAGAGCATCCTAGATTTCTAGAGGGATTTAAAAGCTCTGTAGATGTGAGACTTAGGGCCATGGTTTGGTGTGGGTTTGACAGCACTGGGTTAGTGGTTGGACTCGATTATCTCAGAGGTCTTTCCAACCTAAATGATTCTGTGATTCTGTTAAACAGCCCTGTGGAAAGAGATGATGGAAAGAGATGATTTGTTCTAGTTTATGGTGGTGCTTTTCACTTTGTTTTGTTTTTTTTAATTGCCCTCCTTCTATGCTTCAGCTTTCAGGTTATTGCATAGAGAAAAAAAAAAGTGTTTTTATGGTTTGAAGGATCTTTTGAACTGTAAGAGAATATTTACACAGTAGAAAGTAACTCTACTGACATGTGAATTGTTTTATCACAGTCTGCAAGAAAGGCTAGTTTTCCACCGAGATATGTATTCAATGATTTCAGATATATCCATATATGTTATTTTCATTTAGACCATGAATATTACTCTGATGATTTGGTGAACTCACGGTGATGTAGAAATACATTTCAAATAATATTCTTGACTGTTTCTCCAGTATTTTAGAAATGGTTTTATCACTGTTTATGCATGTCTTAAACACCAAGAGGAAATGCTCAGCTAAAGATTTTGCTCTCCTTTCTCTATATTACTAATTTAAATGACCTAACTAATTAGTGATTTTTTTAAGAAAAACTTAAGGATGCTTACATTGTTTTAAACTGTTTTTCCTTCAACTTGTCATTAATATGAGAATTTTATGTCAGTGTAAAAAAAATTGAAACCTCCTTTTCCATGAACCAGGTTACTAAAACAACATGCACACAAGCAGCAGTAAAATTCATTTTGTCAGTTGGTAATAGTTACCAAAGCAAGTACTTCAGTCATTAAGGCAACATCTGTTAGCTTGTGTTTTGTTTTGCTTAAGTAGATTTGCAGCTGATTGCTGTGTGTTTACCCTTTGCCTTACTGTGCCTGCAGTCCTTGTCCTGGCTATGGAGCTACCTTTGTGTGGGTGTGAGCAAGAAACCTGTGCAAATGCAGGACTTCCGATGAAGATGACAAACGTCATTTTCTGATGTAAATTTGTTTTCTCCTAAAAAAAAATAGTATGACAATTTTCATTTTTATCATCATGTTGTGGTGATTTATTGGTTTTTTGAAATAATTTTACCAGGCTCAAGAAAGCAAATGTGCAGAGAGACTGCTTCTTTACAACCAATATGTCATGCTGAAGCTGGTTATTTACAGCAATTTAGCAATGGATACTAATTTAAAATTGGAAAGACTGCTAGAAAACTTTGCAGGGTAATTTTTTGTTTTGTGGGAGATGCTGATAATACATTTATCTTTGTTACCCCTACTATTTAAAAAGCAAATTTTCAGTCTAGATGATTGTCAGATGCTGTGTTTGAGAACTTGACTTGGTTTAATTCTTTAAAGACTTAAATACTTTTACTTACTCATTAAAATTATTCACATTGAGGAAAGTGAGTCTCTACAGTCTCAGGTATCATAGCTGAGACTATGCCAAGACCAAATTACTTTAAACACCAGCATGTTTTTTTCTGAATGTATCTCTGTTGACCATTGTTTTGAACAGAAGAGACAAAGTTTTTTAAAAAGCATTTAATCTGGAAGTCTTCTGGAGAGTCTGAATTTTATATGGGATTCTCATGTCTTTCTTATTAGACAGAAGGGCACAAGAACCTTTTAATTTTCATGAAACTAATTTGTCAGTACAGCACTTCATGCTTCTCAGAAGCTGCTCTCCAGCAGTTAGTAATATTAGCAAACTCTAAAGAAAAATTCTTTATGAGCTGGTTGTGATGTAAAAATGTTAAACCTTTTGTATTTAAAATTAAGGATTGAAGTATTTTTTGTTTTCTTTGTTCTATTATGTTACCTTTATTTTAAACAGCATAGTGCACCCTCAAAAAACGACTATAAGAAGGGAAGGAATGACAAGATTTCAGTGCTCTGAGTTTAATATATTTGTTTGTTTATGTTTTACTTATGTCATCCCTTAATATATCCATTTTTAAAAGTATACCTAAAAAGCCATTTGGTGCTCAGGATTTATTTTATGGTGATAGATAAAAGAGAGGTTACCTATTTAAAAGACACTTTACTAACAACTGCCTACACTCTCAAACAAATATTTAGGTGCAAAATATAACCTCAGGTTTATCAGGATTGACATCACTTTACATTGCTTTGCAATTTTTTCTTCCTGATGTCCCAAAGAATGATGAAATTTGAACCACATAGGAAAAAAAATTTTAAGAATATGTGAATAAAACTGCCAGATGAAGCTCCTGTAATCAGGAGATCTTGAAAGTCATCTTACCTGCTTATATTATAGTTTTATCTTGATTCTCCACTCAGCTGACCATACTTGTGCAGTACTGACATAAATATGTGGATCCAAGAAGGGAATTCAATTGATGATAGTGAATGTTTGTGGTTTACTTTGTGAGAGGATAGGCCTGAAAATCTGATGCTTTCAAAATGCTGGTAGGATGCACTGAAAAGGCAGTCTTACCCAGAATACTCTCTGATTCATCATTTCCACCTTTGTGAACAAATTCCTGTGATTTTTGAGAAACTCTTTTAGGATTAAAAAGAAAGTAAAGAGTCCTTGAGGTATTTCAGGAGAGGGTAACATCAGTAATACAGTACTTGATAAAAAGGATCTATGGATCCTTGTGACTTCAGAGACATGTTTCTTAAAGTTTTTAACATCAGTCTGGACAACCTAAATTTTTTTCATCACTTGAATATATATATACAGAGAGAGAGAGAGAGTCTAGTAACTTTATCACTTCCAGAAAGGCAATAGATCATCTGTAGGTCTACTGAGTCCTCCCACAGACAGATAGAAATGACCTCAAAGAGAACAGTGTTGCTGTTTTTAAATTAAATGGGTTTTGTTCAACTTGTCTGTCCCACAAAGGATTTGCTCAGGTCTCTAGACACCATGAATTCAGCTCATTG